TCATTACACCAAATACACAAAATAATGTTCTTTTTAGCAGCATCATATGACCCCTTTAAGTTGTATTTTCAGTGTCGGTCACAGCGCCTTTTAATTGCTTTTTTGGATCCAGCAATTATTCATTTACAAAGTAAGCACTGGGCAGGAGGATGTGCGTAATGTGACTGAAACCCATGAACCCTTTTTAGAATTGAAGAAGGATAATATTAGGCGGTTGCTACACAAATGTGATATATATATTCACAGGTGGATGGAACACTTTTTAGTCCAGCATGTTCCTCCATGTGGTTCACAAACAGGTTTGATATTTGTATGTCTTCTGAAATTTGTAATACTGGTCTTAATTGCAGAAATTGCTGTGCAGATCATGTTAAGTCCTCTTCTAATGCTATTTACTATTTATTATCTTTAGCTGGATTGTATTTAGTCTTAAAATATATATACTGTATGGTGTAAATATGCGATTCAGACTTCGATGTTTCCTTCTGCTACACAAACAACATTGCTTTTCCCTAATGGTTTTAAAATCAGACTTGAAATGAACCATGTTTAAATATACAGTTATGGATGAAACATTGCCGATTGAACCTTTAAGACATTGCAAAATATACGAGTGCTTTTTTTCCTGAAAGCCTTTCTAGCATTATCACCAAATTGCCGTCCAGACGTAAACTAATTTTATCACAAATTAATCATGCAAGTAATTGCTTTTCCAAAAACAACTGTAACTTCTAGCTTTGATTGAAATGTACAAAATAAGAGGTTAAAACTACATCTGGAAATTTTCAATATAATTTTAAATACCTTTACTGTCAACAAACCCTACTGCATCATTAATTTTCCTGTGACATTTACAATTGAAGGAAACTGACATTAGCTCAGGTAGACATGCAACTTTTAAACGCTTAAAAACCCTAAAGGTACATACACAAAACCATATATACACAAAGCACCTTTATTGTAAAATAGATTTTTCAGAATGTATTACTGATTTTTTTTTAAGAGTTGGATGGGTTAACAGACTGAAACGTTTCTAAAACCCTAGATAGGCATATAAACATACTCATTCAACTTTTTAACAAGTTCAGCATCAAATAGCCCTAGATTTTTTGTGTGTAATTCCGTTTGAAGTAAATGGTCCATTTAGGGGTTCAAATAGCTCTGACACACTTATGACTCAGCCTGGCAAGTGGTACAAAAACACTAGGCCTCATCTGAAAACAGGTCTGTTCCAACTACATTTTCTAATTTAATTTTACTTGCAGAGAACTGATTAAAACATCATGTCACCTTTTAAAGCACTACTTGTGGAAATACAGCTCTAAATGCATGAGAGTCACAGAACTGCAGTGTTGAGTGTGTGACTCATTGGTGTTCCTTGTGTGAGCATGTGAACACTGTAATAAGTATTGTGAGGGCTTTTTCCCGTAGAGCAGAAACTCACTAGAACTCCCTGAGATTCTTGAGGCTATATTGTTGCATGTGGAGTTCTGACAGATTAATAAAGTCTGGTCATCCAACAGCACGGAGGCCATAAGCCAAGAAGAGGGCCCTGGATAATTTCATTACAAGTGAAAAACGTTTGGATGACATCTCCACCCTGCCACTCTAAATCACTATGAAGTTTTTCCACTTTGTGTTTGATATGTGAAAACAAAATGCATATGTCTTCTGCACAAGGGTAACAGGACACTGTTTTGGTTTAATATTGCAAGATAAAGATTCTGCAATCAAGACTGTTGCTTTGTATGACATCAGTTTGATTAATTACTTACGTGTTGCTTTTTTAAGATAGCATTTTTCTTTAGCGATGTCTTCAAAAAACACTTAGCATAGACAATAACTTAAGTTCAAAAAATCAACAAACTGTTATTTTTGTTTAAATTCAAGGCCAAAAATGTTAATAAAGCATCAAACAATTCTTAGAATTGCACGTTGGCACAGTTTACAATGTGCCATGTTTGGCAGAAATACTAAACACAGATGAACAATTTGTTTCTTGCTGTAATCTCACAGGCTTTCATTTTGGACAGTCTTCCTTTAACAATTCCTTCAGATAAAAAGATATTAAGTGAGCTTTGATGCCATCTAAAAGGGTGATCGTCTTTCTACAGTAATATCGGATTTTTTTCCTTTACAAATTGAGTTTCCCTGGAAAGGTACTGTAATTCTTAACCCCAGCAGACACTTCCTGGCTCATGTTAACTGACAGCTTCCTGATGACACTTAAATCAGATCAGTGTCTGGGCTGGGTCTCTTGCAGGAGATTACACCCCTGATTGCCTTCTTAAAGATGGGGGATAAGAGCAGAGCCCCCACAAGGCCGCACTAAACACAGACATGATGCAATAACTCTACTGGCAGCTTTTAAATCCCCCTTTCCTCTTCTTCTCATGAGATACAGCTGGCCTCATCCCCCCCCCCTTCAGCTTTGAGTACTCATTTATAACGACTCCTAAAGGAGGTCATGATTTCTTGTAGTTTAATGGGCAATTTTTGGCCATTCTTTTGTGTGTGCCTTTGGAAATACTTTGATTGTGATTAGACATGCAACTGCATTTGAAACATGTAGATAATTACGAAAATACAGAACGAATTGCAATTAAATAAACGGCAGACTTCATAACATGTTGCAGTCTAATAGAAACAATATTTAGGGCTTCGCAAATGAGAAAGTATATAGCCCTAACAAATGCATCCGTGCTTGGTTCACATCTGTGTGCTGTTTGGTCAGTTTAGAGTTTGCCTTTTATATATATTTAAGTGATGTATAGCATTCTTCTGTTTCGTAATCATGTTTTTTTCTGTCAGTTATTGCTTGTTTTGAGGTCTTTGCGAGCTTTTTAACTTGAGTGACTTGAGTGATATTCTGTTTTAAGCCTCACTGATTCCACAAAATTTGTTTATAGCTGTAATTTGATGAAATTCCACTCTGTCTAAAGTGATATACTCAGTAGTGAAATGAACAAAGCCTGATATGTGCCACATATTTGTGGTGCCGGGCACATTTTAAGCTTTTGTATTTCTAAAGTGTCTGTGAGTCCTCAGACGACAAAAATCAAATGAAACATAACAGAATAATAATGGGACACCGGGGTGAACTCAGCTGAAGAATGAAAAGACTGAGACAGAAAAAAAGGTCTGCGGAAAAAAGACTCCCTGACCAGTGTAGCAGCCCATGAAATTGAAGTTTGGATGGCTGAACGTCTTTCAATTTTTGGAACTGTTCTGGAAAAGAGGGAAAATTGATTGTTGCTCTCCACTTTAAAAGGAATTGATCCCTACAATCAAAATATGGCTGACGTTCTTGGCCGAGTTGTATGTTGGCACTGTGAACTTTGCTGTTGGGGCTAACATGTTTGCCCAGATAACTGAGAGACAGCATATTTGATGTGAGACAGCTTTGCCAACCACTTTAAATACCTGACCCAAACTTCAATTTCAGTAAGACTGTGTATACTTATACTTCATATTAGGGACTTGCTTTAGAGGTTATATACACTATCAGAAAAAAAGGTACAAAAACTGTCACTGGCACGGCACCCTTACAAAAGGTACACCTTTGCACATTTACCCCTAAAGGATGCATATTAGTACCTAAATGATACATATTTGTACCTTTTAAAAAGGTACCACTCTGGTAATGGCTTTTGTACCTTTATTTCTGAGAGCCTACAAGCAATCAGAAGTGTATGCAAGTATGTTCTGGAATCTCAGCATGACTTGATTCCTGATTATATTACACTATATAAATAAACTCAGGTCTTCTAAACTGAGGTATTCTATAATGTTTAAGATAAATTATTTTGTTTTGTTTTGTTTTATAACCAGTAGTTTCTGTGGTGGGGATTTTCACTGACTCTTTCCATAGGTGGCGACAAGAGAATTAGTTGGTTAGTCTTTAATCAAATTAGTCTTTAAAGGGCACTGATTATGCCCCTTTTTACAAGATGTAATATTGGTCTTGCGTGTCTCCAGAATGTGTCTGTGAAGTTTCAGCCCAAAATACCCAACAGATCATTTATTATAACAGCTGGAAAATGTCATTTTTGGGGTGTGTCTAAAAAAGAGCTGTTTGGAGTGTATCGCTTTAAATGTAAATGAGCAAATGTCTCCAGAAGAGGGCGACGCGTATACGTCTCTTTGCATTGCATATCTACAGCAATAAACAGCAGGTAGAAGCAACATAACTGAGGGCGAGAGAACCTGTTTAGCCATACATATGGGAAGCCAAATGACCTGTCATCAGCGCGGATCAATTGACCGAGCCACGCGACCGAACGGTGTGAAATAATCTCACAAGCGCGGCGCTGATCAGTTAAAAAAATACTTAATGTACAAACACAAATACGGTTATAACACTCAGCACTATAACGACATGACATTCACAAAGGAGTCTGAAGTGATACACGTGCTCTGAGAAGCACATGCTGTGGGTTTGTTTGTGATTATTTTCATTGACAGAGCAAAATAGATAGACAATTATTGGCAGTCACAGAGTAGAGCCGTTGCGAGTCTCTGAGTAACATGATTCGATGAGTCAAAGATTCAAAGACTCATTCATAAAGGTAATTACTTTTCGCCACCTACTTGCGCAGTGATGTATCTTGCAAAACGAGTCACTAAATAGTTCCAGCAGCATGTTTGGACTGTGAACAAAGATTCAATTTTGTTTAATTTTGCTTAAATCTAAATCAGAATTTCTGATCAAAATCAGATCACAAAGCACTTAGGTTTAAATTTAACTCCACTTATCTGAACAACTTTTAAGTGTCGAAGGGATGTTGAATTGACCTTGTGGCAGCTCAGCTCTCTGTGAGTAGTGGGAGGAGAGATGGAAGAAAGGAATGTCTGCATGTTTTACAGAAAGAGAGTAAGAGAGATAGAGAGAGAGGGAGTGTGGCACCACTTCACTGAGCAGAGTAAATAGTAAAGAGTTGTGACTGGGACCGTCAAACTACTTGGACACAGAGAAGCACAGCAAACACAGGCCACCATCTACAACAATGAATGACATCAAACTGGCCCTGCTGGGCAGTGAGGGAGCAGGCAAATCTGGTGAGTACTCATCTTATACTCTATGTAGTCTGTACAGTTTATATGCATATATCTGTCTTTAAGATTAACTAAAACTTTACAGCACTCTTTAACCCATGTGCCGGTTGCATGGTCCTCACATTTTCAGTTGGAAATCATCCATGTGTGAGCTGTGTAGTAATGTGTGAGACATTGTGTCTGCCCTCTACAAACACTGAAAGCACTTTGTATATTGGAACAGATCAGTAGTGAGGTCATGGTTATGCAAGTCATCTCAGAGGGAAATTAAAATAGATGGTTGTGAGAGGCAAGTAATTGCTGAAACTGGGGAAAGATTATTTTTTGTTCCACTCAGAAGCATAGGAACATTTAGCCCTTCAGGCTGCATACCTGTGCTAATGACTATTAAGTGTTTGGGAAATGATGACGCTATGTCCCCTGAGAGCGAAACTCTAGTTTAGCGGGGATCCAAATGACCAGGGTGAAGACAGAACTGAACAACAAGGAGGGGTCTATTGTTGCACATTTGAGAGGAATACGAGTTGAATCCTGACTGCTTAATGGTTTATATTTGGGTAGAGGGATTGAAAGCAGCCACTGAGTGCGCATTTATGCATGGAAACTCAAGCCCCGATTTCAATGAGTCAATGAGCCAGCATAGCTTCATGGCTCAAATATTTAATATAGACCAGGTAGTGTGCTCATGGAGAAAATGTAAGTTTTTCCTGTGCCAAATATGCACCAGCGTTCACTGTAGACTGGCCAGGTCTTTGATGAGGGGCTGGACTTTGACCTTGTGCCCTCTCTACTTATTTTAAGCTGTCATACGAGTCATTTACATCAAGGCTTAGGATGATCAATCTCAATAAGTGACTAATCAATCATCTCCTCTCTCTTGTCCTCAGCGGTTTTGGTGAGATTCTTGACCAAGCGATTCATAGGAGAATATGCATCAAATACCAGTAAGTACAGTCTCACATGCACATTTAATAACACAGCCAGAACTTTACTCATGTGTTCATGGGTTTTATCTGCCATTATGTGTGGAATATTATTAAATGCTGTAATTCACATAACACAGCTTTATTGTTCATTTAATAGATGAAAAACACAACTGCAAGCTTAGGCAAGAGGATGTCCTTTACATACAATTGGAAATAAGGATGCAACTGATCTGAGTGAAATGAGTAAAAGGATTAAAATGACTAAAAATAATAAATTTATACAAAGCTTTTTGCAAAAAAAGTGAGAACTCTCTAAGAGTACAGTGTAAAATAGTTTTTTCATTTTTTTTATAGAAAAATACAAATTGTTGTTTTAGTGTCATGTGTTATTCTAATGGTGTTTTGTTCTATATACACCATATTTACAATGACTGTTTACAATTAACTGATTCATCATGTTGCTTTCTCTTTTAACACCTATATTATTACGGTGGTTATCAATACATTTTAAGGTACAAAGCAAATTTTGGTACTTGTAGTAGTTTGGTAACATAACTGATTTGTAATGTACATTTATAATTTGTAAAATATACAGGCATGATAATGCCATCCTGTAATTGTCTGCATTTTTTACAGTGAATTTCTGGCAACCACAGCTGCTTTTTTATCATACATTTTGACAGTGTATTTATTTTTGATTTAATGAGCTTTACAGGGATAGTAAAAATGCTGTCATAATTGACCTCATGTCTTTCCAAACCTTTATGACTTTATTTATTGAACACAAAAGAAGATATTTTGAAAAATATATGTTTTTCCCCCCATTCAATCAAAGTCAATAGGGTTCAATTTTGTTTTTACTCCTTAAGCTTTCATTATATGGACAAAGATGTAAAAATATTCTTCATAATATCTACTTCTGTGTTCCACAGGAGAAAACCATACAGGAAAGACATTAGGCTGAGTAAATGATGACACAATTTTCATCTCTAAATAATGAATGTTTACATTGATTTTTAAAAGGCCACACTCTGTGTACAAGCAGGGCTGGTGTATGTTTTCCTGTTGTCTAGTTCCTAAAAGTCCGTTCCTTCCAATCATGCCATGGATTTTTGAGGCTCCCAGTAATCACTGCACCTCTGATACAACTACATGTGTATCACATCACATGTACTCAGTCTCTTCTTTTATTCCCTTGAATTTTATATGAGCATCTAACAGTCTACCTTGATTTCAGGGGTCCGATTTTATGATGTGCACGTTTGTTTTAATACCAAGGTTTTTATCCAACATAATTTTTTGCAGACTCCTTATACCATAAAAGGCTCTCCATTGATGGAAGACAGTTGAACTTGGAAGTCTTTGATCCATGCTCACAGGTATGTGTTTATTCTTTCATAACGGCTACCCTGAGCTCATGGCTAGCGTTCATACAAACACTGCCATAGGGCGACATGCTCAGATATAACTGCTTCTTATGGGAAATGCATGTTGTGCTCTGATGGGATTTATGATCTTTCCCTGAAGCAGAGTATACAGTGAAGAGCCTTTGAAAACTGAGCCTCATGTCTTACAGCTGCTGCATCTGGGAACTTTTACTTCGCCAGTTGTTGTTTTACTTTGATTTCCAAAACTGAATTCATGAGATGGACACCTTTCTACCCTGTAACTAAATGCCTGTGTGCATACAGCCAACACTGGCAGTCAATCACTGCATCCAAAACAAAAACTTCTGGTAGAGATCTAGTCAACTCTAAACAAATGAAACAACAATCCGCTATTCCATTTTGTCAGACGGGACTTTGCATGAGCATGTGTTTTTGACTGTGTGCCCCCCACCCCCTGGCAGAGTGAAGAAAGCAAATGTATCCTAGAGGAACCACTGGACTGGGCTGATGGCTTTGTGGTGGTGTACACCATCAGTGACCGTACGTCCTTCCTAAATGCCAAAAACATCCTGGCGCAGATCAAAGAGAGTCGTCGAGAGACCTGTAAAGGGTGAGTCAGAGACTCTCCAGTGACCTTTTGACCTTTGTCTGATGTTGACTGGAATAGGACGAAGGAGTTTTAATGAATTAATGAGGACCATTTGCAGAACAGAGTGGAAGCTTCCTGCTTGGATCTGTGCACATCTGTAAAGGACAGACTGGGTCACATCAAATAATCAAAAGAACTGTCCATGTCCGCACGGTTTCCAATGGTTTTGATAACTGTATTATGACCAGCAGGCCAAAACTTTCCATTTGATTCCATCACATTTATAGAGAAATTTAAAAGTCTGGATGGTTTAGGTTTCACTGGTTATTTGTCATTTGAAAGTCCTTTGAAACAATAGTAAGTGAGCATAAGACTGGGCATCTGGAGTCCATTAGAACTCTGAAATGGGCAAGGAGATCACTCATGGGTGGTCAGAATCCAACATGTTCCTTAAAACCGGCTTAAAATTTGACACTTCAAAAAAATGCAGCAAGTGGTTGTTCTTGTAACATGAAGTTTTAGCTTTGCAGCAAATTTCCAACCACATTGTGACCATTTGATTTTTTTTTCTTTGTCAATTGTTCCACTTGTTCCAATTAGGACACACACTGTGAGAAAAGAATCTCAGTGTATGAACATGTGCCGTAGTATTATTAAACTAGATTATAAATGTATAAATGTAATTATAAATGTATTCCTAACCACTATTTAATTTACTTAATAAATCATATGGCCATGTTCGGATCACAAAGCAATTTTCTCCTGAAAGCAAATAATCTGATTTAATTTCAATAGGGAGGTTCCCATCTGCCTGGTGGGTAACAAGCAGGACTTATGCCACAGCCGCCAAGTGAGTGAAGAGGAGGGCCGCTCTCTGGCCCAGGAGAACAAATGCCTCTTCCAGGAGGTTTCGGCAGCTGAGAACTACCTGGAGATCTCCAACCTCTTCACAAAGCTCATCCGCCATGTGATGGAACAGCTTAAGCATAGAGGCGACCGCAGGCGGTACAGTGGCTCCAAATCCATGGCCAAGCTCATTAACAATGTCTTTGGCAAGAGGAGAAAGTCTGTTTGAGTGAGTGCAGAACATGAAAGAGCCCAGAAAAGAGCAATGAGTCAGTCTTCATTGAATCAGTAATGGAGATTTGTCCCTGTTAAACCTGATGTCCTTGGAAAGGTTTTATGTGTATGAATAGAAGTATGGTTTGATACATAGTGCAAATTCAAATTCAAACCACTATGAAAAATCCCACGCAGCCAAGATCATCATATAGAGCAGTGGTTCTCAGTGGTACTTTTAGAAGGGGGAGAAGCCCCTTCTCCCTCCCCATTGTCAACATTATTTGACGGTCCCATTACTTTTCCAGGTGTTCATGATTAACTGAAGTAAGTATTTTTACTAATTTTTTTTTTTACTCAAGATTATTTATTCATTTACATGACTTTTCCAACATGAGGCCCCTGATATAGAGTATAATTAGCAAGGGTAAAGAGGTACTAGTTATAAACAGTTAAAGGGGTGGTTCATAAAACCAGGAAATCATCAGCACGTTTATTGGAGAAAGGACAGTGCGGTATAGAATAAAGGTAAATTATGTGAAAAATACTATAATAATACAATTATATACAATAACGTATACAAAATACAATAATTATGTTTTTTTTTTAAACGAAGCATTAACACATGTTAGACTGCACCCCATAAACACAATCAAGTCTATAAAAAAAGCAGTCAACCACCCCTTTAAAACAAATAAAGGCATGTGTGTATATAACACTATTGGTTTACAGTAGCTGACACAGTATCCCAATGACACATACTTTGCGGTTCGCATTACCATCTTTGCATTTATTTGCATAAATAATTTTAGTTCAAGAGTTACATTTATGGAATGTGTTTTTCTTTAGAAAGAAAAATCTCTGCCTTATGTTTCGTTATTATTTTATGATTGTTCTCTTATCTGACTCAGAAGAGTCAGAAAACCCAAAGCTACTTTTGTCTTAAAATTCATATTTTTGTTGACATATACACCTCTTGATAATATTTTCAATATCTTTGAGAAGAATGGGGAATGTTTGCAAATTCGTGAAGCTTTTGCTTTTCTCTTGAAAGAGTAGCACACATTCTTTCCCTTGCTCTCTGAAAATATTTTAATGGCATGAGACCGAGTTTGCATCAAGGAATGCACAACAAAGTTGAAGTGAATTTCATATATCGAGATACTGTGATGAAGTGTAAAATGCAGGTAAATTACCTTTCTAACAAAAACCCGTGGCATAGGAATGAAAATAAAACTCTCCCGCATTCCTTCCGTAGCATTCTCAGGGCCTCTTTTTGAATAAAAACAATGAACTGCAGCCTTTTCCCGTACTGTACATTGCAAGAAGAGGTTTGTGGGCCCTTGGGAATGACCTGTGTAAAAACACATTCTGCTTTAGGTTAATCACAAAAACAAAGTAAAACAAGCTTACAAGAAATGTTATCAGAACTTTGGTGACGAAGCGATATCGTCCTCTTTTGGAAGGCCAAACAAAGTAGTTTCGCTTTCACAACTAAACACACAGAGTCTTCACCATATGGCGGCGGCAACAACAATACTACAGCGAGAATAAAAGTTACGCCTTCTTTCTTTGCGTGAACATTTGGGCGGCGTTATGCAAATCTTCCCACATCGTGACGTAGACATGTGGGGACGTGTTAGAACGAGCCGTTTTAGGTAGGCGTGGCTGACTCTTAACTTTTATAAAGAATATCTCTTTGGATTTGAGACTTTAGTCTTTGCAACTTTACAGATCTTCTTTATGCACCAAGAGCTTGTAACACTCCAAAGAGAAAGGAAAAATTGAAATCGCATCATATGACCCCTTTAATGTTCTAGCAAGTTTCTCTCAAAGTAATGAAAAAGAGTTATTCCGGTAATGTTAACAGAATGTTCATTCAGAGTTATCTGGTCTTTACTAATGTTCTCAAAACATTATTTCTACATCATTCATGGAATGTTTTATTTCGGAAATGTTTAGTTGGATTTTCATCTAACATTTTTTAAAATGTTGCTACTTGTTTCAGCATATTCAGAGAACATTCAAAAATAATATGCCCATAATGTTTGGAAAATTATAAAATGGAATGATCCCTTACCGTTCATATAACAAAACAAAAAAAAGTTTTTAAAGCATTTAAAAAAACTGGGCATTTCGAATGCTCAGAGAACATTTTCATATCTTAATGGGAATGTTTGCAAAACGTCCTTTGAGCATATTTTTGTTAGCTTGTGTTGCATTAAAATACAATTCTAGGGCTGTCCCATTGTCAAAATTGTTCCACAATGCACTGTAAATCACTTATACCCTGCTTATATACTGTCATGGTTCATGTCTCACGATTCAAGAGAAATAGTGGATGAGTGGATATGTCATCATGCCACTGTACTTTAACAGCTACTGTGAAGACGCATGCTAAACAACACAAATCATACTAGAAGGGCACTAGTCCTGGAATATAATACAGTGATGTTGTTGATAAATACCAGTGACATTTATGCGTGTTTTCAACAGTTTTCAATCAGTGCCCCAATGTTTAGTGGCCCTTGCGAGTGCCTGAATTTGTGTTCACGATATACTGATTCACAACCTATAGGGAAATGGGGAGTGTAATGGGACACAGCAGCAGAAGCCATGAAAGACTTCCAAAGAAATTCAAAGAATCTCAGAAATATCAATAAATTTAAAGTTGTCCATGAAGAAAAGAGGTAACATTCTTTTGTGCAAGGCTGCTTATCAGATGAAGGACAAAGTAAACAGAATTTACTGCTGCTAAAGTTACAAAATACAATACTGATTCTACTTTTCAGTTGATTGTTTAGGTACCAGTAATGTCATGTCAAGTTCAGTAGTTTGTGTGATTAGCTTAAGCAGGTTGTGTTTGTCTATTATTGTAACTTGTTTGAAGTGCAGCTTTATAATGCAGAATTCCACTTCATATTGTAGAGAACTTTTCTTATAACTGTAGCTAAAGTAAAATGTGTACCTTGATTTTTTTTTAAATGTAGTAACATGTTCACTAACCTAATAACCTACTAATAAAATAGTTACTTTTTTTATTATTGTTACATTTCTTTTATAGTTAATAAAATATGTGTCTGCTTGGACACTCTTATCATACAGTTGAGGTCAAAAGTTTACATTCCCCTTTCAGAATCGGCAAAATATTAATTATTTTACCAAAATAAGAGGGATCATACAAAATGCATGTTATTGTTTATTTAGTACTGACCTGAATAAGATATTTCACATAAAAGATGTTTACATATAGTCCACAAGAGAAAATAATAGGCTAGTTGAATTTATAAAAATGACCCCATTCAAAAGTTTACATCCCAATGATTTTTAATGCTGTGGTTACCGGAATGATCCACAGCTGTTTGTTTTTTGTTTGTTTGTTTAGTGATAGTTTGTTAATGAGTCCCTTGTTTGTCCTGAACAGTTAAACTGCCTGCTGTTCTTCAGCCATCCATCTTTTCACACTGAGGACAACTGAGGGACTTTAATAGCTGCATATGAGTCCCTCAGTTGTCCTTAGTGTGAAAAGATGGAACAAATACACAAATATTCTGCAAAACCAAAGAATTTGTGGGACCTGGAGGATTTTTCTGAAGAACATCAGGCAGTTTAACTGTTCAGGACAAACAAGGGACTCATGAACATTATCCCTAAACAAAAAACAAAAAAACAGCTGTGGATCATTCAGGTACTGTAACAAAACAGTATTAAGAATCAATGTAAACTTTTGAATGGGGTCATTTTTATATATTCAACTAGCCTATTATTTTCTCTTGTGGACTATATGTAAACATCTTTTATGTGAAATATCTTATTCAGGTCAGTACTAAATAAACAATAACATGTATTTTGTATGATCCCTCTTATTTTGGTAGAATAATTAACATTTTGCAGATTCCGAAAGGGGGATGTAAACTTTTGACCAACCTGATATGTTTGGAATGAATCTTCTCTTACTGTGTCAAAGTGTTGATCTAATTTTTCAATCATGTCTAAATTGACTCTATTTTCACATGAGTGCAACTTTTGTTTTGATTTATATTAGTTAATTGGCAATGCAGCCATTTCAGTTTTTAATACCATACCTGTTTTTTAAATCACCTATAGCTAGATTTGTTGGTGTACTCTTACAAGCAGTTTTCTTACCATAGTGACCTATTATAAAATGTACATATCATGTAAATTGAACTTAATGTAAAAAAAATTATGTTATGCAACACCTTATGAGCTCTGAGAAACGAATATACAGTATGCTCTCACTTAAAAAAGCATTTCTTCAGAAGAGTATGCCACTTAAGTCATGAACCTTACAGGAGCTTATGATCCACTAGATGGAGACAAACACCTAGTACTTCCTAACCGTTTTAACCAGCGAAAACTAAAAGAGAAGCACATTTTGTGACTGATCAGTGCCAGCTTTTTGACTTATGGAAGTTTTTGTTTAAATTGCATTTAAAAACAGTACTTTATATAGCATAATATTCACACACATTTTTAAATATTAAATTGAATCAAAAGCGAGTTAAATAATTTCCTGCAGATATTTCAGCTTTAGCACGAGCAAGATTAAAATAAACGTCTTTAAATAGGCTATGCCACGATATAACACAATACCTATTAAGTGGGCGTAGCACAAGCCCCAGTGATATTCTGCTGTGCTTCAGTAAACTGTACTACTAAATCCGTCTCTGACTATGCAGCAGCAGCATACTGATCCTAGAGACATTTTCCGTGACAATCATGTCGTCTGCCCAGTGTTTTTGGTGGTGGTTCGGAATTATTACGGCCGAATACCGAAGCAGGAATGAATGACTCATTTGAGTCAGTTAATTTCAATGAACTGCTCGAACTGTAGCATAACAGTCGGAATCGGTTCGCGATTCAGTAAGAATCATTCGACGCACTGAATCGTTTTGTCCTTATTATAAAACAACACTGGATGAAGTGGAATATTTATCTACAATATATATATTTTTTAATCAAATCTGCAGATAGATCCTGCCAGCGATGGAGATTTATTAGGCTGCTCGTGCAGCGTGCTAACATCTCATCCAGGTAAAGACATTTTCAAACGAAAATAACAAACAGTACAC